TCTTGAAAGGCGTATTAGTTCAAAGTTAATTCGCATACGAAATTACGTGACTTTTGAACAATTTTACTAAATGCTGAAACTGTATTTTTACGTTTTCATTTACTTTATTTCCAAAGCATACAAAATTCTTAAAAAAAACTAAATATTTTTTTCTACATTTCGCAGGCCTTCTACTTTAATGTTTACAAATTTGCTTTTCTGTTATATCGATATACACTCTGCATTTGCTTTTCGAACAATCATAAGCCTTTTTTCCAAACAACGCAAGCACAACGCTACTACACACTTAATAAGCTTACGCATTTTCCCAATATGCGATTTTTGTTGTTCATACTTTTTCAATTAATTTGCTATGCGTAGCAACTTTTTTATGGTTTTGATTTTTATTATGAAATTTCTATATTTGCTGCTCACATTTTTCCTTTTTAGAAATTATAATCTACATACTTGTATATAGACGTAAACATTAATATTTATTATTAATCGCTTACATACATATGTATATAATTCTTACATTCTTACATAAATTTGTATGTAGTAGGTTGTATGAATGTATGAATGTATGTTTGTTTGTCTCATTCCATTTAAATCGTAGAGTATAATCACTGTACTATATGTTTTTGTTGTAGTTATGTATGTATGTACGTATGTATAAATTGTTTTGAGTTTTGGTTTAAATTTTTGTTTTTAATTTTTTGTTTTTTTTTTCATTTTTAAAGATGAAATATTTAATAATTTAATTTAATGTTAATTAATAATAATTACATAAATATGTATATAGGCACTTTCCTTTAGTTCAGAATTTTCCACTTAGATTTTCAAATTTTTTATAAAGTATTTTTTTTCACATGTTTGGTTACTAAATTTTAAAATAAATTATCATTTGGTTTAAATTTTAAAACATCACTGTTCGGGAGAGCGTGAGATGTTTGTATTTATGTAGAGTTTCGCTGCTGTGGCTGCACTAATTATACACAAGGCAGAAGCTTTCACTTTCGAAAAGCGCTTGCATTTGTGCAAAAGCTTTCACTAGGAGAAAATGCGCTCATTTTAAAAAGCTTTGGAGTGTGAAAAGCAATTTTTCAGAAATTTGTTTAAGGGAGCTTTCAATTCAAAAGCTTGCCAAGCGATAAAGAAGCTATAACTTTTAGAAACGCTCTCATAAGCTTTGGAGTTTTCAAGAAAACTCACCTTATTTTTTTCTTAAGTTACCTAATTTTGCAGAACCCTTACCACTCTTTAGTGCAGCCACCTAGCTTCTCTGTGTTAGGCATTAATTATCTTCACACTAAAATGAAATCATTATCCAAGTCTTAAGTATAAAAATATACATACTTATAGTACATATGTATATACTCAACATACTCATTTACATATGTTTATAAAAAAATTAAAATTAACCATTAGAATAGTATCAAATTTAAGTAAGGCTTAATTTATTAATAGGCTTAAGAATTGTTGGTACTTTGACGAACCTTTTCAATGTAGTCGATTTTTTTAAGTTTAAGGCGGCCAATGCTCGAAAATGCAGATGGAAATGCAAAGCAAAATAAAACAGTTACGTGAAAGTTCAAATCAGTTTTTATTTATTATTTATCAAGATGAAGAAAACAATCGCTAAAGAGATATTTGCAAATATATCACATATTCAGCGCGCTTTAAATGCTTGAGAAAGAGATTTTTGCTAGCTAAAACGAATTCAGCGCCTGCTGAATTCAATATGCTTTGCTCGATATCCTTAATTTTTGACATAAAATTTAATTTCCTCCTACTTAAAAGAAATTCAGCGCTTGCTGAATTACGAACACATTGTTAAAAACGATTAAAAACACGTGCTTTGCATTTATTATCGAATATTGAATGTATTGCTCTTATCTGTAGTGGGTTTAAATGAAATAAAAGCTAGTAAAATATGAAATATTTATAATTGCTTTTACCAAACAAAGCTATTTAAATAAATTCCAGCGATTCTGGAATCCTATGATTCACACTTTATGCTAGCAATTTATTAGAAAATACAAACAAAAACTGCAGCAAAGAGGTGGTTATTAGACAGTTTCAGCAATTCACTTCTAAATGAATTTCAATCCCATTCAATTTGAATTCAAAGTGACTTTGGCTGAAATTTACACACAAGCTGCCCGTATATTTAACTTTGAATAGCCAGAAAACTTTATTCAGCACTGGAGTGAGCTTATGTAGCTGAGAAAAGAAAGCAATGTTAATTATTAAACACCAGCTTCACAACATTTTGTATTGCCTAAAGCAATTAAATTGCTGAATTTGTATAAGTACATACATAGTTGAGGGTTTGGTATGCAAATTAGCTTCGGAAGCAGCCCTAGACGTGAAGAAAACACGCGATATATAATTAAAAAGCCGTATACAATTCATTTAAAAAGTGTATACGTCTTCAAAATGTATTCAGCAGCAAAAAAAAACGATGCTATTCAGCAGGGCTAAAAGCCCCTTAGTAGATATTTAACGCAATAGGAAACACTTTAAGGTCGGCATAATTAAAAGCGCGTCTAAGTAGCTGAATATCTTTTTATGCTGCAAACACTTATTTAAAGTGCTATGCGGCGTTATTAGCAGCACATCAGCGTGTGGTTTTTCGTTTCGTGCATACACGCCCGGCACTAATTTTGTTCGATTTCGTTTTAAGTTTAAAATAAAAAATTTGAGAGTGTGACTTTTTTCAAAACAAATTTTATTCAATTATATATAATTTCATTTACTAAATCTATATATGGTGTATACAGTATATAGTGATAAGCCACTCCAACTGCTTTCAAGCGTTGGCATCGCCTTAACATATTTAGAGTTTTTTTTTTATAATTGTTGGTTTTTAGAATCTTTATTTTTTTAATTTTCACTTTTTTAAGGAAAACTTTTGAAAATAGCACGTGTAAGTTTAGGCGATTTGCTACCAATGCGTATAAGAATTTTGTGTGTGTGTTTTATTTTGTTCATTTTTCGTTTTTACTAATTTTTTCTTATTTTTCGCTTTTAAGATTGTCCGGCTTATTTTTTGACTACACATACATATCTAGCTTTCAATTGCATTTGTCTGCGAGTGACACATTTGGTATGTAAGTTACATTGTTTTTTTTTTTGTTTTTTCTACGATCTTTCTATGCTTTGCTCATACTTTCATGTACATATATTTGATTTGCTTTTGCTTTTTTTTATTATTTATATATTTTGTTTGCTTATATGGTAATACATTATGTACAATGTACATATGTATGTATATAGCAAGTGTTTTATATAAAGTAAAAACTCAACATTTTTAGTGTCTACTTTTAGGTGTTTAGACATCATTTAACACTACTATTTAATATAAGTTGTCTAAAATTGTATTGTGTGTGTGTGTGTGTATGTTTATATGTATGTGTATATACGTCATTTAGGTATGCATACTATGTGTAATTGTATATGTATTTGTGTGTCTTAGATACTACTTTTTTCATTAATATTAACGTACAATTAATATTGCCATTTATTATTTATGATCTTGCTTCATTTCGCATCATTTAACGTACATAGGTATGTTGTATATATAATCTTTAAGACTATTTTTCCATTTACATATGTATATTTTAAGTAAATTGTAGTTGAAGTTGCAATGCTTACAATCTTACGCCAACAAATAATATTCACTTTTTAACAGTTTGCCCATTGCATTTGCATTTTTGCATTAAAAACGTAATTATATTATTTGTTTAATATTATCTTTTTTTTGCGTTTTGATTTCCTGCGCTTTCCGCTTGCATTTGCGAGCTGCACTTTCACTACAAAACAACTAATAAATGTAATAGTAAACAATCTAGTTCGTAATTAAAGGGCTGCGTAAAGCCTTCAATTAAAAAAACAAATTAATTTGTTTAGTATATTAATTTTGCCTTCTACGCAACTCAGCTGCACCAAACCGAGTCTTCACATTCACTTTTGCTAATTTAACATTTCTTTATATTTGCTGTATTTTAAATAATTTTATTTTATATTCTTTTGCTAAAAAGGTACTTGAAGTGAATTAACTTTGTTTTTTTTTTTAAGATGCATTTACTCAGTTTTATAACGAACTTAAGATTTCTTAAATATGAAATTTTATTTTTTCCTTAAACACTAAAAACTTTAATATTCACTTAAACCCATTTTTTGATTTGCTAGTTTCTTTTGCTAATTTTTTTTTGTTTTTATTAAAATGTATCTTTATTGGTTTTTTAACCTAGAACTTATAAAGTAGATTTATTTTGAAACTTAAACAAGTTTTTTAGCTTTTAAAAGCTGCTTATAAGCGCGAAACTCAAAGATTTTCGTCATTAAGAAATAAAGATTTTTTTTTTATTTACATAAAAAATTTGTGAAATTTATTATTATTTTTTGAGCTGTGCCACAGCTACTCGAGTGTGAGAAAAAATCAACATTAACATAAAATTCAATAAAAGATTATTGTTTGGCAAACATTGTAATTTCTTTAGAAATTTAAAAATAATGAAAAAAGTTGAAAAATATTTAAATTTGTGGAAGCAAAGTCACTTATAAACTAATACAAACTATCTCAAAAGTTTAAAAGACTTTGAAAAGTCGTGTTCAACAAAATACGGTGCATTAATTTCGACCAGCGCTAGTTGCTTGCCGCTGTTGAGCAATTGAAAATGAGCTCCGCTAAAAAAAAAAAATGCATTTTAAGTCAATCCACTGCATCTTATTTAAGTTTCATTTACTTTTCCAGCAATTCAGCGCATATTTTACAGTTCTTGAGGTAGAACTACACACTTAACTTAATCACAAGTTTTAGCTTTCGGTGCTCACGGCAATTTTGTAGCTGAATAGAGCGCTGAAACAGCAGAAAGTGCTGAATACTTGATGTAAAGTCTATTAGTCAGTTTGATGCATTCTATTATATATGCAGCACGCTAAAAAATGTCGTGAGTTTCGACAGTACTCTCACATTAACACAGGCAACAAGTCATATTCAGCGCAATTAAAAATTGTAAAATGCCAGAAATTAATTGGTTTTGAATCAAAGATTTTTAAATTATGTACAAGTCATATTGAAAAACTATATTCAGCATGTGCAGAACTGCATTTAACTTTGTATAAGTACAAACAGCATTTAAAAAATTGCAAATAGTAAAAAAAAAAACATTTTAAAAACTGCATTTAACTATTCGATAAACTGCATACAGCTTTGGAAAACTGAATTTAGCATTCAAAAACTATATTCAGCATTTCATAAATTGCATATTTTAGCAAAACATAGCGTTGGAAAGGCTGCACACAGCATTGTAAAATCGCACTCAGTATTTGAAAAACTTCAACTGGTAACTGGAAATCACATTCAGTGCTCAAAAAGATTAATGAAAGCTCGCTCCAACGACTGTTGGGTCTACGTAGCCGGAACGACCCAGATTTACAGCTTTCCAAGGACCGTCACTCCCAGCATCATTCCCAAAAACTCTTTGGGGGATTTGCATGCTGTTACAACAAAAACAACAACATCACTGAGTGCTGAATTTAATAATGTAAAACCAATTTAGCTGTGAAAATGTGCCTTTGCTATACGCTTTAAATCATGCTTTCCTAGTAAATTGTTTTAAAACCACTTACTGGCATCAAAATTAAAAAAAAAAAGCTTAATACACATTTTTTCGAGTTTCTAGCTGGTATTCAGCGCATGGAATTTTGCTAATTTTTCTTATATAATTGGAAATTTCGGCCGAAATTAACCGCATTTTAAAAAACACTTACAAGAGATTTTCTACATTACTAAAAAAATAAAGTAAACCTTGAAAAGTATATAACGGTTATTTAAGTTTCTTTTTCTTTTATAACATTTTTCACATATGTATGTAAGGATGTTCGTTCACATTAAGGAGCTGCGAGCAAGAAGATGGGGGCTTAGTTGGATAGTTAATGTACTTCTTATGTGCATGGGTGTGTGTCTATGTGCATGTGTTTGCTGCTGGTTAAGTATAAGCGGACGGCGTCATCAACGGCTGGCCATACAATTATTTTGTTTTCCATGCTAATTTTAAACATATCTATCTTGTCAGCGAAAGTGTTGCTAATTTAAACCTTCATATTTGTGACAGCTGAATTTTACGAACTGTAGAGTTAAACTCAATGAGCTGCGCGGCTTAAAGTTTAAGAGCGTACCAGATAAAAGAAAAGTTTTAAAAATGTCATGATATTAGATTTGAATTTAAATACATATACATATGTACGTGTAATTTGATGCTTAGTACATATCATATTTTGTCACAAAAGTATAATTATTAATCTGTAATTAATAAAAGTCAAGTGCAATAATATTGGGAGTCAAATAATTGCTATCCTAATTTTTTTTTAATATTTAGACACCCAGAAAATATTCAAAAATGCATAAGGAGCTCATCTGATAATCTTTAAAAGCAAATATTTTTAAAATTTCTTGTCTAGCTAATGTCTTTGAAATGTATTTATTCTTTAACCAGAATTATCGTCACTACCAATTCAAATCACTTAAAATTCGTCTTTAAAAGTTGGGAAATTAGTTTGTCACAAAAGCGTTAAAATGCGTTGCTCAATTTGCAATTTTCTATAGGTTTTCAATATTGTTATTATATCAGCGAGCTTTTTAAATTCATATACTATTATTTTCGCTACTGTTTGCGTTTCTTTTACAGCCAAATAAACTGTGAAGCGTGTATCATAAATTTTACTACACACACTCATTTCAAATTTGTACATAACGATCAACTTTTTCTACCAGCCCTATCGCAAACTTATCTAGTATTTTTCAATTCTCATTCAGCCACTTCTTCCCCAACTCCATTACCACTCCCCACTAGTTTCACTTCTTGCCCACATTAATTTTTCCAATCACTTGCAAACACCGTTGCTCACCGCGCCTTGCTCATCCATGGTGCCTTGCGCTTGATCTTCGTGCGCAAACTACGCAAAGGTTTGATCTTACGCTGCACTGCACTACCGCTGCCCAAGCCTTGGTTGTGATGCAATTGATGTGGCCCACCATAATAGCTGGGTAAATGAAAGCTGCCGCTATCCTCGTACGCATGATGCTGCTGCTGTTGTTGGCTATAGGCCACCGCACTGGTCAGCAATGCCATTTTTCCATTGCCATTGGTGAAATGCCCATTATTATTGTTCGCCTTATTGTTCTCGAGACAGGCGGATATGTGTTCTTCTTCGACGCTGGTCGATGACGGCCGCTTTGTGGGCGATTCGACAACAGATGAACGCGAGAGCGAGAGTAGCGCATCGACGCCTTCACGTTGACGGCGTTGATCTTCAAGCTCTTCAGGTGTGATGTTGTTACTGCGGAGGTGAAAGGGAAAATAAGAAATAAGAAAATTGAGTGAAATTATTGAATAAGCAAGAAACACTTACTTATCTTCGCTGCTTTCGTATGCCGCATCGGATGATGTGTAATTGCTTTGATTATCACCATTGCAACCATTTATTGGCTGCTGACCATTGCTGGCGCCATACTGCGCATTGCCATTGATAGCTGTAGGCGCTGAGTTGCCATTGATGAGTGGCGTTGAGGCGCCGCTGTTGCCACCACTTGCACCACCGCCACCAGCGGAGTACGTGTGATCCTCACTGGGTGATGAAGTTATTACGGGCGCGCTGCATTTAAAAAAAAAAAAGTGAATAAGCAAGCGATTACCATTGCGACCGCAAACTCACCCATTCTGGAAGGTCTCCGAAAACACTTTCGGTCCATGTTTCAAGGCCAACATCGCTGTTGCTGCATTCACATCATCGATGCTATCGGCACCACAATCGCGCGCCAAACTCTCAATGCTTTCATAGCTGCTGAAAGGACCCAATATGGAAGCGCCACTGCTAACTACACCACCACTGCCGCTGCCCCCGCCACCACCACCAGCGCCATTTTGATGCACCGATGAGCTATTATAACTGCTGTGTTTGTTGTTGCCGCTTATCTGGTTATTCAGAATGCTATTATGATTTGTTGTACTATAGTCGGACGGAGTATCTTCGTCGGGCACATCGCCAGCCCCAGACACGACCACGTCATTTAGGAGGCCTTGGCCACCAATAACTTTCGATAGTTTAGGGAAAAGGCGCGGATCAATGCGTGGATTTATATTGGATTTGGGTGCTGGACTGCAGGCGCCGCCGCCGCCACTACCCACACTATCAACAGTGTCATAGCCCACGAGTGAGTCATTGGCAGCGCCAGTGTTGCTTGCGGCACCGGGACTTTTGAGCGAGGACGACTTATCGACAGCTGAATTGGGGAAGAATGGCGAGCGATTGAGCGCTTGTATGAGATTTTGTCGCTGTTGTGGTTCGACGCGCCAAAGTGAGCCCTTGCCCATATTCTAAGGGAAAGATTAATACAGAGGTATGGAGTTGGTTTGATTTCTTAGTGATTTTTTTTGTTTTGTTTTACAATGGAGATATTGGTTTTTAATATTCTAATAAAAGCGTAAAAATAGCAGCATGAGAACCATTTTTTTCTATGCGTTTCCCAAGGAATTTTAATTCCCCCAGGTTATCCACGTTATCTTTATCGGTAAGCTTCCTGTGCAAGTTTTAATTTTTTATCGACATTGATGCGATATCATTTCGAAGTATCCATTAAAAACTACCGATATGGACATATTCATTGGCAATATTTTCAATCATTTATCGACAGCTCTCACTACAGTCGGGACTATGTAAACGGAACGAGCCAGATTCATATCTGGCCAAAGACAGCCGCCAGAGCTAATACTCCAAAAACTATTTGGGGAATTTGTATGATGTTACAAAAACAAGAACACCATTTATCGATAGCTCTATTGATATCATTTTCGATAATAATCGATATTAATTTTGACAGAATTGTCGACTTTATTCTTATTCGCATCTGCATTTTTTGTTTTGTATGATACTGTTATGTTGACAGCTGCTAATGTCTTAATATATACCAGCATAGTTCACTTAAATATATATATTCAATAATAACTTACCGGCGCTTTTTCCACCTTCACGAAGCTCTTATTCAACGACAAATTGTGCCGCACGCTATTCTTCCAACCGGCAGGCGCTGTCTTAAAGTACGGAAAATGTTGCATAATCCAGGCATATATCTCCTTGACGGGCAAAGCTTTTTCATTCGAGCCCTCGATGGCCATGAATATTAAGGAACTGGAAACGAAAATGTTTTTATTTTAATTAATTCAATTGTGATTCCCTTTTATTTTATTTATTTTTTTAATTTTTTAATAATTTAAAAATTCGTAAAGCCCTTCACGTTTAACCCACCTAAAACTGTAGGGCGGCTTGTTGTGTGTGTGCACGAATGGATCGTACGGCACATTGTTCGGATGCTTTTGCTTTTGTGGTGTAACAGCACCGCTGCCATTCGATCCACCACCGAGGCCGCTAACATTGGTCATACTACCAGATAGACTATTCTTTGAGGATGCAGAAGAGCCAGAAGATGACAACTGTTGTTGTGCCTGTGCTGACTGATGCGTCTGATGTTGTGGTGTACTGGTGTTGTGATGTCCCAAACTACTTGAGCCATTGGTGGATATTTCGAAATCTTTCAATGAGTCATTGTCATAGCTGGAATAAGAGGTGGGCGAACGCATCATATTGTGTTGCTGCTGCTGAGTTGTAATGAGCGGATAAAATTCTTTGGAATTATTTGGTTCTGGCGATGAGATGCTTGGCGAGGAGCTGTAAAGATGGAAATAAAAGCTTATCAATTTTGAAAACGTAATAAAAATTAAAAGCTTTTCTACTCACGCCACACTTTGGTACTGCATTATAGTGTAGGTGGGTGGTATGCCCGCTGCAATGGGCGAGCCAGCTGCACTGTTTGTATTTGCAGCACCTGCTGTCGCATTACTCTGCACCATTGGTGACGACGTATTAGCCGTGCTGGAGTAGTTTATGGCACCGCTGCTGCTGGCGTTGCTGCCGCCGCCACTCACATTGCTATTGTTGTGACTGTTGTTGGCTGCGCCGGCATAGAATGACTTAGAGATGGGACTATTGCCGCCGTTGACAGCGGCCGTCGACGATGAACTAGAAACGGAGGAGGATAATGAGCTGCTGGAGGAGGCAGGCGAAGCAACCACTGTGATAGTGGAAGCAGCCGCGTTGCCTCCTCCATTTGTGGTTATAATTGTGCTAGCATTAATGCCACTACTGCCACCGCCGCCACTGCCAACGCCTCCGCCGCCGCCGCCATGATCCAACACATTCATCTTTTCGCGCAGGTATTTCTTGTGCGGATGGTGGGTGGTGCTAGATGTGCTGCTGCTGGCATTTGTATTGTTGTTGGCAAAGTTTTGTTGTCTTTGTTGCGACTGCTGTTGCTGCTGTGGTTGTCCTTGATAAATTGTGTTAGTCGTGCCGTTGCCATTGGTAACCGTAACAACACCGCCCGGCAGCGTTGTTAGTTGCTTCGGCAGGCTGAGCACTATGGTGCCACTGTTGGCGCCGGCAACGCTCATCGTAGTTGAGGCAGGCGTTGAATAGGAAACAGACAGTGAGGCGGGATTGGAAGCAGCTATGGAGGCGGGTGTACTGGATACTGTTGAATGAGTGCTGGTAGTAGAAGAGAATGAAGAAGGCACATAGTTGCAAGAGTTTAGATTATTGCTGCTGCTGCTGTTGGCGTTGTTGTTAATTCCGTTGTTGCTCAAATTTGCTGGCGTTATAGTGGTGCCACCGCTAGCATTGCCAACACCGGCAGCGCTAAGTAGCTGCCTCGACTGTAGCGTCGGCATATTCCCATTCGATTTGTACTCCACAACAGTGGTGGTACCACTCGGTCCCATATGCACAGTGGTGGTGGCACTGATGGCGCCGATATTGCCGAAAATGTGTGCAGCCTCATCTTTGCGACCGCCTGCGGCAGCTGTTGGGTCATGTGGTGGCAGCAAGGTGATCGGTGTGCCGCTGGTGATTATGTTGCCATAACGCTTGAGTTGTTGAAAATCGCTGACGCTTAACGCGGTTATTTGTGTGCCAGCTTTCAGTTCAGTCGATGAAGTGATGTTGTTGTTCGTATTGCCGTTGCCGATGCCGATGCCGATACCGCCACCACTTGCCCCAATATGTGTGCTCATACTGCCACTGGGCGTGGTGGTGGTTACCTCCTCGCTGCCTACATGATGTGGCAGCTCTTCGATCAGCTCGTGTGCATTGCTAGCGCTTACTATGCAAATATTGCCGCTACTTGCAGCAGCGCCACCACCGCGCTTCACATTAGCACCGCCCGCGCCAGCTGCTGTCGTAGTCACTATGCCTTTAATTAAATTGCTGTCATTGAGCCACGCCAACGGGCGCAACTCCTCGTCATTATCGCCAGTGCCAGTAGCCGCCGCTGTGGCAATAACACGCCCCACAGCCGCCGCATCACCACCCAAACCGCTGCTGCCATTCAAGTCCATCGGCTCGGTGGCAAGCAGCACTATATTTCCTACGCTGGGCGCGCCGGCATTGCCATTGGCAGCTGCAGCTGCTGCTGCCGCCGGGGTGGAGCCTTCATAGGTAGTAAATTGTCCATTACCATTTGGTTGCAACAGCACATACTTCGATGTGGTGGGCATGTTGCTGCCACCGGTGGCACCGAACGATGTGGCACCTGTATTGAAGATTTTGCCGCTTGGCTTAGCGTTGCTGAAGTTCGCTGCGCTCAGTATAGTTGCCTTGGCAAGGAAGTTATTCAAGCTGTTATTGTTGCTGCTGCTATTTATGTTGCTGCTGCTGCTGATAAAGCTGGCAGCGTTACTGACGGCGGGACTAATGCTGCTCGTAACTGTGTTAATGTTGTTGCTGTTGCCGGCGCGTAAACCATTTGTTGCTGTGGTGACCAGGCCGCGCGCCTGCGTCGCCTGTTGCAAGCCGTTGTTGGTAAGCGAAGCTGCGGCGTTCGCAGGAAGCAGGTGTGATTGTTGAATAAGCAGAGCGTGGCCGTCCAGTGGGATGGTGGAGAAAACAAGATTTCCAGCACTGGCGTTGTTGCCGTTGCTGCTGTTATTGGTATGATGATTACTTGCGCCGTTGGTTGTGATGCTGTTGCTGTTGTGGTTAAGGTTGTAATTGTGATTACGGCTACTGCTGTTGCTGTTGTTGTTGCTATGAACGTGACTATTGTAGACGATATGGTCGTCAATAGATGTGTTGTTGTGGTTATTGTTATTACTGGTGGTGGTGATCACACGCTGCAGGGTACGCAAGCTGGTCAAATCGTGAGCGGTTAAGATCTGTGTGGGATTATCTAGCGACATTCTGTAAAAAAACATAAAGAAAAAACGACGTTATTTAGTGGCGAAATTTATAGTAGTCAAAGGCACAGGGTGACCAGGACCTTTAGAATATAAATGCACTAAATAATAAGGCTACTTCCGCCGGTTGTAATCCGAATGAAGCAAATATCATAAAAGAATAGGTCTATTCGCACGCGATAAAAACAATCTTATCTCAACAAATTTGTATCAAAAACCTTGAAAATACTGGCGCCAATCGAAAAAGTCTAACAAGATATGTAGTACATATATATATACGACGCCAAAGAAGTTAACCACTTCAACTCACCAAAAAAAACAAAAAAAAAACACCATTCCATTTGCCTAACACATTTCCTACTTTAACAAATAATTTTGGCACATAATCGCGCTTTTTTAAAACCCGCTGTCATGCGCAGATAAATATAGAATTGTGTAGTGGCAAGATAAGATAAGCCAACAAAACTATACTGTAGCAAGACCACGACATTTTGTTAAGCTTAGAAGAATGCTTGAAAATGGAACGGAATATATGAAATAAATATATAGAAGTATAAAATTCCGAAAAGTAAAAAATAGAGGACTACAAAAAAGGAAAAGTGCTCGTAAATGCGCAGTAAATACAAATTATTAGTATGCGAAATGTCTATGCAATAAACAGTCAAGGTTAAGCAGAAAAATAATTAAAACGGTATGAAAGTATTTTATGACGCGTTTAGTTTTGAAGTCATGAGTGCTTAAATTGCGAATTACTATTATTGCAAATTATTTAACGAGTTCTTTATTTGATTTTCAATAAGAAAATGCTTTGGCTTTTTTGTAGGGAAAAAGTATCGCCCTTTTGGACATTTTGATATAAATAATAATAGTACTAATAATATTTTGGCGCTTATACTTTTGCCAAGTGCTAAGCCGAGGGACCTACAGTTTTACGCCGCTTCTGAATGGCAAATGGATTGCATAGGAAGCTTTTTCATGGCACAAATACACTCGGAAGTTTGACATTGACGCTGTTAGAAAAATTTTAACCCAGGCCCTGTGGAGTGGTAGTATGCACTCAGCCAACTAAAAACGTCACTCAGTCGTGCACATTTGCCGTAAAATCCACTTTTTATAATAAAAAGTGATTATATTTTTAAAAATTTATATCAGCTAAAAAAATAATAAATATGTATAAAAAGACCTGAATACCCAATTTGTACTAATTATTTTTTTATTTAAGCGCTAAGCAAAAAAAAATATTACTTTTTTAACTTAAACATAAAAAACGTTTCAAAAATTTCGAAATTCCAAAAAATTGCATACAAATTTGAATATATTTTAGTAAAAATGGCGAGACGTAGGTTTTTTGAGCATTTCTAAAATGCTTCATGTGTAAAAATATAAAATTTTGTAACGTTTTTTTTTTACTAAAGCGAAAATAAAATAAATAAAATGCTGATGTTTTTATTAAGTAGGAACGAAGATATTTTTTATTGGACGTTTCGCAACATTTTTTACGAATGTTTCCAAAATGGACTCTGGCATAGGGGTGGGAATTTTGCAACTGACTGCCTAGTCGAAAGACCTACTCGACTTAAATATTCATCGATTTTTAACAATTCAGAAGTGTTTGTAATTGCCGAATCATAAAGACTAGTTTTGCACGCAGAATAATTTAGAGCAAATATATTTTTTTTTTCTCGCATACCGTACGCTAGTTAAGGGATATATTTGACTCTGTAAATATTATATCAAGCCCAAAAAAATTAAGGCATTAGGTTACAAACCTACCGTTGCGCTAATCTTGTCGCTGAGGCATGACAGCTTTCCAAGCAACGAAATGGCCGAAGAGCTAGCCGAAACGGTTCAAGCCTGGAAATTTCATTGGCAAAAGGACCGTCGCTCTCAGCACTGGCAAAAAGTCACTAACAGTAGGTGGCGAAACCAACAATCCTGCTGAGTCCGTAAAAATTTGTTGGCTTTCTTACTGCGGTAAACGGGGGAAAGTTACCATCAAATTGGTGAGAAGGATATTGTCGCCACTAATTGCCGTTTTCACAGGACACTGGACCTAGACGCACAATGCAAGGCTAGCACTAGAGCACAACGCTTTTTGAAGTACTTGTAAATTATCAAAATCAGTAGTAACGGCACGGGCTTACGCAGAGTATGACCAGCGCGCGATTTTTAGGCAAGCTTTTCTTTGGTGATCAGAGAGAATTTGAGTGGCATTAACCCACGACATATGTTATCTTTTGATTGTCAATTCTAGGTAACTTCTCAAAAAGCACTTAATATTTCACCTCACATTATTCAATTTATTTGAATGAAGTCCACTTCTAATTAAATGCCATTATTTCTACCACCAATTCAACCCTGAGTGCACGCCAATCGCCAATATAGTGCTAGAACTAATATCCGTCAAACACTAATCCAACACACACACTCACTGCTCCTACCATTTTGTACGGCATCTCGCTGCTGCTAATTCGTTGTTTTAGTTTTTGCACTTAACGAAATTCATTACAAAAAAAATTGATTGCACACAAAAAAACGACTGCATAAAAAATAAAACTAATTCACTGGTCGTCAAGTGATTTTTGCATTGATTTTCGCAAGTTCTCATGCATATGTATGTATGTCACTCTGTAAGTTTTCAATTGTCACGGTTACAAGCAATTCAATAAACTAGTACCAACGAACTTTTTAGCTGACTGCGTTTCTAGTGGGCATAAAACGATTTCGCTTGTAATAAAAGCCAAAAAAAGAAACGCTGCAGTAACAGTTGCAACTACAAAATATAAAGATACCGAGTGTAATATGTAAACCAAAAAACAACAGCAACAACACTAAAAAATTGACGAAATTTGATTCTTATTGGCGACTGTTGAGAGTAAGTTGACTCGCGCTTATGCGTCGGAATGTCGATTTATACGAGTAGGGTGCTTAGTATTGCGCGATACAAGCGGCGTCATCGTCATCATTGGAATCCGCATGTAAGTAAACTAAAGGAATTTCTATATAGTGCGGAGTGCTTGAGCGAAGCGGGGTCGCCGCCTTGGCGGATACCATCAATGCCGCTAAACCAAAAAGTTGCTATAGTTACTTGACTGTAAACAAAAATGTATAAAGTTGCTTGAAAATCAACACTCCAATATGTAACACGATTTTATTATCTAAGTACATACTAAAGATATGTAGTGAGAGCAAAAAAATGGGGAAAAAGTGAGACAAACCCAAGTCAAAGCCGCAGTAGGCAGCAGGTGACCGAGAGCAGAAATAAATAAACGAGTCGACATGCATGCATATGTACATATGTATTAGCTATCGAAGTCAAGGTGTTTGTAAGCTGGCGAGTAAAACGAAGTACCCAAACACTAACTACAATAAACGTGTGTGTTATGTATACGCCCTGGTGTATAAATTGTGAGGGGTTAGGGGCATGTAACAACAAATAGCTGGTAGAAAGAAGTATGCGAGAAAGTGTCACTTGCCGGCTAGAGAGAATTTAGTGCAAAAAAACGTTTTAAAATATGCCCGATTATAGTGGTAGTGCATATTTAGTATGTAGTTGTAGTGAAAGGTGTTATTTGGGAGTAGAATGTATACAAGAAATGTAAACATGTGACCAGCGAATGATGCTGAGTGAGCCACTACGGGGCAAACAAGAGAAATGTGCGCAAGCCAACGAAAGAGCAGGTACGACTGCGACCAAGGATGGCTGGCATGTGAGAGAACGCAAGTGTGTCAGCGCACAAGCCGGTAAAGCTTTCTTTCGTATGCACAACTTTTAAACTAAGTACAGAGCATTTGAAATAAACCGGGCTAAAAATACAATACAATGTTACCCCTTCGGCCTCCACCGACGAAACAATGATCGAATGAAATTTGAGAAGTAACTAAAGAGCGTCTGTAAGAGTGACAAAGAAGCGAGTAAGCACTGAAAAGCGCTCTTTTAATGCTCAGCAAAAGCACTTGTGCGGTATTACCAAAAATAAAAGTCAAAATAAAGCTAAAATACTAGCATATCTCTCTAAGTAAACTTGTATAGCGGCGCGCCTACGTTGACCGCGACCGCGACCGCCAGAGCGAGTGCTGCAAACAGTGTTGCTACACATGGGATTTTCCTACCAAAACTGGTAGGTTTATTTCCATTTGGTAGGTTGGTAGGCTAGATTGGATTTTGGTACGTTTCACGGCAAAAATAGGTATTTGCGAAAAATAGAAAATATGTATCTCCAAACATTTTAGCAACTTTGAAAAAGGTTTGTCAATGAACCCACTGAAGTCCACGATTGTCCCATTTACCAAAATTAGGAAACTCAACTCAACTTGACTAGATCCACCTTGGCAGGGACAGAAATTGAGTTCAGAAGAAGCGTTTTATGCTTGTCAGAGACTTCATGATAAGACCTGGGGAATATCCTCCAAAGTAACTAACGTATCGATCTTTCATTACGGTAGTAAACCCCGTTGTTACATATGCGACACTGGCCTACGTTGCCATAACAGGAGCTATGCGCACCTTGGTGTCATTACAGGCATTCCTCCTTTATTTTTTTGATTGAAAAAGGCCTGCTGCAGCGCCGAACTGCTGTCCAATACGTACGGCTGTCATCAGCACAAAAAGGTTCTCAAGTAATTCCTGGTTCTCAAGTTATCCTTCTATAAACCCTATAAGGTCAGAACTCTTGAAAGGGACTGCGGGGGCGATAATAACTATGATTGGCGGAGGGTACCAAGTATGGTATACCGACAGATTGAAGATGGATGCGAGAATACCTACTGTGGCAGGCGTACTTGGTCCAGGATTAAAAAAAAGTCTGCCAATTGGCACATACCCAACGATATTCCAAGCGGAAGTCTTCGTAGACGAGCAAATGTGTGTGTGGTATTATGTCGGATAGCCAGGCAGGGTTAAGGCCTTAATAGACTCTTTTTTAACGGCATTAAGGTTGTAAACTCTTTTGAACTAGCTGGGAGCCCACAATAGCGTAACGCTGTGGTGGGTTCCGGGACATA